GTTTTGGTAAGACTTGGCTAATCCCAGTAGGTCTGTCCTCAGTCAGTGCTCATTTCTGGGGTCTGCAGAGGTCACACTCTGGGTGCCTGGTGACTGCCAGCATGTGGCTTGGCTCACCCCAGCTTCTGAGGGAAGACGCCTGCTGCCTTTGTTATTTTGGGCATTCCCATTCACGTTTTCACCAGACCTGACCCTGCTTGGCTTGTAAAATCTGATGGGCTCCCTGCCCAAGGAGGGATGGCCTCGGGCATGTGGAAGTGCCACTCCAGAGAGGTGGTAACATGTAAGCAGAGGGCAGACTGCAGAAGGAGGGGCCGCACCTCTCCGCTCTGCGGGCCTGGGCTGCGTTCTCCAGCTGCTGCAGGGCTTCCCCTATCTCAGACTCCAACCGCTCTTTAGTGTGCCAGGCTTCTCGGGTGTCCAGTTGTTTCCCTAGGAAGGATTCCCAGGGACGTAAAGGACTCCTCTACGTGAGCAGTACCCTGGTACCTGGCAGGAGCAATCTGGGCAAACATTCTCTTTACGCATGAGCCACGGGAGGAGGACGCAGATGTCAGAACCCGGCTTGGGATGCTGGGTGCTCGCCCAGTCCTTGGCCTGGAGTAGAGGCAAACTCCACTGGCAAGAATACCAGTGCTTGGTGCCAGGAGGATATGTCATTTACCAGCTGCGTCATTTTGGGCAGCGCACATCACCTCTTGGAGCCTCCTCTGGGAAGCTGACTGGTGGGGCAGTTGGAAAGATGACATTAATCGGCGTCAGTGGTGTTCTGGCAGCCGCAAAGACTGCGGGGATATTCCTAGGCGACGTGTGAATCGATCCTCCGGTGTCCCATGCTGACAAGGGATAGTTAGAGATAAGGCCAATGAAGTGCTGCCTGGGAGATTTTTTTAAACCAGCTTGGGTCTTTGAGTTACATCGAAGGCTGTCAGGGATCTTAAAAACCCCTCACCGTCCCAGTCTACCCTAACCCTAACGTTCTTTTGGTACTTAACTTTCTCTCTGCAGCATCCCCGCCACGTGGTTTATTAGACTTTCCTTACATACTTTCCTTACATACTTCTGATGATGGTAAACTCACTCCTTGATGAGGAACTCTGTTTTCTCTGGGTATATAGGTCAGGCCATTCAGAAGTCATTGTGCATGGGTGCGTGCCTCTGTGTGTGTGTGTGTGTGTGTGTGTGTGTGTGTGTGTGGTTTGTCAAGACAGGGTTTCCTGTGTAGCTTTAGAGCCTGTCCTAGAACTAGCTCTTGTAGACCAGGCTGGCCTCGAACTCACAGAGATCCGCCTGCCTCTGCCTCCCGAGTGCTGGGACTAAAGGCATGTGCCACTGCCGCCCCGCCCATTCAGAAGTCTTAATGGACTGAAATGTGCAAACTGAAGTTTAACTTCTAGTGCTATTTGCATCCCATGAGGAACAAATGAAGCCTCGAAAGCTGTAAGAATCAATTCAATTCTCTTTATGAATTATGTGGACTTCCTTAATTCTTTACTCTTTTTTATTTTCACTTAGATGTCCTGGCTGGTCTTGAGCTCCTGAGGGCCAAGAAACAAGAGAGTTAATGACAAAGCAGGACACCTGAGCTTCCTATTCTGACCTCTGCACATGGTCACAAGAATATATGCCCATGCATATATGTCACATGGATAGGTACATAATGCACAAAATGCATATATAAATAAGAAGAAAAGAAAAACTCTTTTAAAAATTGACTCGTGATCCTCCAAAATGACAAATAGCAAGATTATGGGTCTGGGAATTCCTTATTATTATTCTCTGTTTTACTTGAATTAGGATTCCTCTGTTTTACTTGTTTGTTTTGTTTTTTTGAGACAAAGCTCAGGTTGATCTTGAATTCATGTAATCCTCCTGCCTCAGTCTTCCTTGTCACTTTTACATTCTTAAGAAAGATAAAGGCTCCCAAATATCTTTTTTATGTAGATACATAATGATTAATACTTACCCTATCAGAAATTCAAGTCGGGAAACGTAGAAACTCATCAGTTCCCGAAAGAATGTAAACAGACTGTTGTATGTTAACGTGAATAAATTTTATGAAAAATAATTAGAGGTTAAACCAATGTTCAATGAGAAACCGGCTTCATTTCACATTTTGGTAGTTCTCTGTGATGTCCATAATGACTGGGCTCTTAGAGACATATATAGTGGAAAGGAACATAAACTTTAATAGTTTCTTATAGTAACTGCTTATGTATCCACAAACTCGAGAAATTACTGCTTCATCCATGAAAAGTTTTAAACAGTACATCCTGCCTACTGTTATTACAAAAATTACTTCAGACCATAGGCCTCTGGATAGGGTTTTAAAGACTTCACAGGTCTCTGGATATCAATTAGTTTGATTCTTATTATTTTAAATTTATCCCAGTAGCAACCTTTGAGAAGTAGAAACAAGAACTCTCATCCGTCCATCCATCCATCCATCCATCCATCCATCCATCCATCCATCCATCCATCATCCATCCGTCTCATCTACAAAACACACTTCCTTTTTGTACTTATCATCTATAGATGGATCCCAAAACAGAAATATGACTTTTAGCCCGTCATCTTCTAGGTAGAGACTATGTCTGGGAGGTGAGGCAGTGAGGAGATGGCTCAGCCACTTAGAGCACTTGCTGTGCAAGCCTGAGCTGCATCCCAATTCTCAGATTCTGCATAAAAAGCCTGTTGGGATTGGTGCAGTCCTGTGTGTGTGTGTTTAACTGCAGTGTTGCAGGGAGTGGAGACAGGAGGATGACTGGAGCTTGCTGACCCCCCTCCTCAGCTCTGGGTTCATGGAGGGACCCTGTCTCAAGAGAATAAAATGGTGAGTGATGAGTAGGAGGCCTGATGTCCGTACTCTGGCCCCTGTACATGCAAACAGGCATACATATCCATGCACACACATCACACATAAAGGTACATGCACACCTGACCTTTCACTTGGGTGCTGGGAATGGGCCTCACACTTGTGTAGAAAGGATTTTGATGACTGATCTTCTTTCCAGTACTGTGAGATGTTCTTCTAACATCAGTACCATGAAAAGGAAGCTCGAAACTCCCTCAGATCTGAGCATCTCTGAACGCAGCTTGCCTGTGGGCTGGTAAACTCACGATCTGGTCTTAATCTCTGAGGAGTAAAGGGTTCTGAGAAGATGGTTCTTAAAACACCTATTCTTGCTGTTCTAGGCCATGGTAATTGGAGGTGACTTTGGAGATGGAGATGGCACTTAGCATTAAAGGCAGCTGTGTGCAAATGTTCCCACGGCACTGCTCTGGATCTTGACATTTAGATGGTGATAGAGCACCAGGAAGTGTCCTAGTCTTTGGTGTTTGAAATCACACCACTCCCTTTACTAAACCACCCCTATAGAAGCTGCCAAGGAAAGGAAAAGAAAGAAATAGCAGCAGCATTTAAATGGGACTCGAGCTGACTGTAGGGTCAGGTCTATTCTAAGCCCTGGACTTAGCCACAGCTGATTCCTTTTTTGTCAAAACTGTGGTTTTCCTTGACCAATACTAAATGAACACAGAAGGTTGTATTTATGAATTTATATGTATATATGTTTGTGTGTATATGTGTGTATGTGTGTGTGTGAGAGAGAGAGACAATGACAATTAAGGAATAAGGAGCTTTGAAGTTGGGGAGGGTGTTCTAAAGGAGTTGGAGGAAGAAAAGGGAGGGAGAAATTGATGTAGATACAGTGATCATGTATGAAATCCTTTAAAAAAAAAGTTAAAAATTTGAGCTGGCTACATTCTGAGTCCTCTGTCCTTAAACTTGTAAACCACTCTATATGACATAAATTACAGCTTGGCCAAACCATGTCCCATCTACACACATGTAAATTAAGGAAGACAGCATGCCCTGAGTAGATCCACACGAACCCTAAGCTACAGCACCAGCACCTGCAGTTTCTCAAAAGATGGCTAATGAACATCATCAGGACCATTGGAGGAAGAAGGGTGGAGACTTCTGGCTGAGTTTAGGGATGACTCAGGTTTACCAGGAGTTTTACCCAGGTTTATTGAGGGGACAGCCAGGGTGGGAATGTGTTTATGTTGTTGAATTTGTCGATTTAAGAGCATCAGCTAGGTGTGTATGTGTGTGTGTCCGTGCATGTGCATACGTCTGTCTGTCTGTCTGTCTGCATATGCGTGTGTTTATTTTAAAAGCATGTTGAAGTTTCTCCTCCCTTATGATAGTATTTAGTGGGAGTGGTAGAAATCACAGTGTTTATCCTTTCGTCTCACTGAATCCTTAGTACAGCACAGTAGGGAAGAATGGAGGTGATAATTTTATTGAACAGGAGAATCATCCCAAAGACTAATCTTGGAAAGGATGAAGCTTGGCTTCCAGGCTCCTCTAGTTCAGGCTCTCTGTTGCTTCCAATCTGTCCTCTTTTGTGCTTTTCTTGTCAGAAGTGGACATGGAAACTGGAGAAGTTTCCCTAGATGTTGAGAGAAGAATGTTCTAGGCATGTCCATAACAAGAAAAATAAAGTTCAGTGTGGGCCAGTCAAAAGAAATAGCAGAAAAACTCAGCAATGTAATCTTATTTATATCATACCTTGTAAAATTTATATTTTAGTTGATTATTTATGGCAGGAGACTATTTTTTTTACAGGTTTTGAAACAACTGGTATCAAGCACACACTTTTTTAAATTCAGAGAGACACAGACACAATAAAATCATAGCAACAAGCAAGGGGACGAAAAGTATAACGTTCGGTGTAATGGTTGCCATGCATGCAAGGAGGCAGGGGAGGGAGGTGGTAGAAGGATGAGGTAGGTAGATGAGTTATCACCAAGATCTTAGTTTTAGTTTGCAGGAATGTTTACATGAATACATACATTTAAGAAAGAATAACTAATTACACACACACACACACACACACACACACACACACACACAGAGTCCTCTACATCTGTCCTTGACTTAGCATAATAGAGCTACCTCTTATTAATCTTGGACGTCCTCCTCTATCATGCAGTCACATCAGCTGGATAACGCGTCCTCCCAGGTAAGCAGAGGCAATAGAAGAAACCACCTTGCCTAATGGCTTCAGCGTGAACCCAAGACCTGCATTTCCTTGTGTGGTGAGCACTCTCAGTTTTACTCCTTTGCTAAAACTGAAAAAAAAAAAAATCTGGGGTGGAGAGATGGCTCAGTGGTTGAGAGCACCTAGTGCTCTTGCAGAGGCTCTGAGTTGGGTTTCTAACACCCATGTTGGGCAGCTAACAACTGCCTATAACTCTAACTCCACGAGCTATGACCCTCTCTTCTGGCTCCCAAGGGTACCTGCACTTACATGGACAACCCCACCCACCCACATAGCATAATTAAAAGTGAAAATAAATCTTTAAAAAGAAAAACTGCAGGTAAGATTTTTTTTAAGCCTACCCTGCCTGTGAGCTTTCAGAGAACCTGTCTCTGTGAAAAGAGAGCTGGGTTTGGATTTGAACAAACACAATTCGTGTCTGTCTTAACTCTTCTTTTACTGATGTTATGAACTTAAGAGAGCCTTGTCTAATCTGTAAGCCTGTCTTTCTACCAGCCAATTGGACAATAATAATTCAAATGTTTCAGGAATAATGTAAGAGCGAAACCAGACATGGCTGTACCCTGTCCACTAATATGGTGAACTCTCCGTAATTTACTAATTGGTAGCAATTATTGCTAGGCAAAAGCAAGTATGAGGTCATTGTTCACCTTATCTGAATCTCAATGTAGTTTTAAGGATGATCAACAGTACCTTATATCATCATTGCTTTCCAATTAAGCCACAAAGACTTTAGTAGTGGTACTGTTTGAGCAGATACTGCCTGGGAGTGGAAGCGTTTATGAATGTCAAAGGCATGCTAGTAATGGACTTGGTGTCTCTTTCTTGACTCGAAACTATGCTTAAAATGGGTCTCCCATAGCAGGTGAGAGAGCTGATCCAGAGAGCTGGGTTATGATAGAGCCAGTCCTATTCCTCATCAACTCTAGCACATAGCACACAGGAGAGTGAACCCTGCACCCCACCTGGACAGCACACTTGGAACGGACCCTGCCGAGGGAGCACAGGTGAGCCAGTCCTGTGAGCAGGAGAGTAGAAGAGCTGACCCCCACACACCACTTACAGCAATCGAGAGAGAGGGCCCTGTACCTTGTCTGGGCTAAACAGTAGAGCTGGCCCTGGTATTGTGAGGGTAGGTGACCCTGATCTGAGGACCCGAGAGGAGACCTGGCCCCGCTCCTTGCTATAGCTACACTGGGTGAGCTAGCTAAGGCAGTGCTGGAGCGCTCGCCTGGGTAGTGACTGTGAGGGAAAACTGGCAGGCTGACCAGCCCAGCTACCATCCAGAGCCAGAATCGGAGTTAAGAGTTGGCCCACTGCAACATCCACCTCATCAATGAACTGTTGGAGCAGGTGAGGCAGATGAACCTACAGATCCAAGACAGCAGGATCTCCATGACACCGGACAACATCAGGACATCCGAAAGGAGCCCCAGTGAGAGGCCACTGTTGGTGGTGTAGCAGAAACCAGAGGCGTTGAGCCAGACCAATGACTCACAGCGATGAACACTTGCAAGAAAAGATGAATGGATTAAAGAGTCAAATGTGAGACTCAACGGGCCATACTGCAGCTTCCATGACTTCTCTCTCTGTCTCTCTGTCTCTCCCTCTTTGCTTAGTTTCTTTGTTTTGTCTGGTTTTTGATTTTTTTCTTTTAATTTGGTTTTGTTTTGGGGAGGGAGGTTGCAAGGGCAGAGGGTGGATGCTAGTGGATGGGAACACAAGCAGGATCCGAATGCATGATGTGAAATCCACAAAGAATCAATAAAAAAAAAATTGGTCTTCTCAGAGATGCAACTAAGTACATTGGGTCAAAGGTGGCCTTCATAACAATTTTTATTGCTTTTAAGAAACTCTTTATATTAGTCATAATAAACTTCCACAACACACATTCCTAAAATGACTTCATTTAGAAAAAAAATATCAAAGAAATATTCCAATTGGATGGAAGACTGAACAATCCATCTCTAGGCGTTCTAGTCTGATAGGCTATTGTTTGGAGCATAGGCCTCTCCAAGTGGCCCAGCAGAGAAAGACATGTGGGCGGTGATGAACTCACAATTTCACTACGTGACACACAAAATATTGTCCGATATTAGTTAGTGCTTAGCTTTAGGAATAGTGGGGAAGTATAATATTGGGTCCCGAGGAGAAAGAAAGTGGCACACAGGGCTGGCCGCCTGACATGCCATACCCTGGTCTTCCAGCAAGCTTCCCCCGTGGATGAGGGGTCTCCATGAGAAGGCACAGCAAGGGGGTGGCGTGTATGCAGAGTGAACTGCCTAGTTCACGGACATCAGATTCCTTAGGTGAGCATTCTGTTTCATGTCTTTCTTTATATGGTTCTATTTTCTCGAATGCACCCTTCCCCACCATTTCACACTTCCAATTTTCACCCATAGTTGGTTTCACATCCAACATTATCTTCCCCTCCCCATGCCCATTTTTTGTTTCACCTACAGTAAAAAGTCCCCAACGTTTCTCTGATATATTTATTTTCATCCTTTAATGCTTCACTCTTGAGTCAGAAGCAGACAGGGAACCCATGGAAATTGGGATCTCTGGCTGACCTTCAGTCTGAGCCGAAAAGGAATACAGCTGTGGCAAATTCCATTCTGATTTCTGAGCTATCATTTGCCTGGAATCTCCTTTTCTGTTAAGCATATAGCTGAGACGCCCTCCTCCAGACTTACAACTACAACACTTATCTAGGATAGCCAATATATCTGTGTGTCTGCTCCATTCCTAGGAGTGAGAACAAACACCTAGCTACTGCTTGCCGAATGGGTCAAATGTGCTCCACTCTGCGTAAGACAAGAACGCTTCATAATCCTGAAATTACAGATTAATTAACTAATTAATCTCAGTTAGGGCAGCTATCGCTATGGTGAGACACAGGGACAAAAGGCAAGCTGGGGAGGAAAGGGTTTATTTGGCTTACACTTACACATCGCTTCATTGTTCTTCAGGAAAGAAAGTCAGGACAGGGACTCAAATAGGAACCTGGAGGCAGGAGCCAATGCAGAGGCCATGGAAGGAAGAATGCTGCTTACTGGCTTGCTCAGCCTGCTTTCTTATAGGACCCAGGACCACCAGCCCAGGGATAGAGACACCACAATGGGCTGGGGTATCCCCCCCCCCATCTATCACTAATTAAGAAAATGCCCCACAGGTTTGCCTACAGCCCTGATTTTATACCAAGCATCTGCATCCCATTCATTTCCGCATCCCTTCGTATCTGTCCTCTGCCCTCGCAACCTCCCCCACCCCTGCCTCAAATAAAATAAAATAGAATTTAAGAGGAAAAAAAAGAATAAAAAAAGGGGGGGGGAGTCAATCTCATCATGGAAGCTGTCGTGTGACACAGTGAGTCACGTAGCAAACCCTCTTACCCATATATCTTTTCTTGCAAGTGTTCATTGCAAAGAGTCGTTGGTCTGGTTCAGGCCTCTGTTTTCTGCTACACTGTCAATTCTGGGCCCTCATTGAACTCCTCTTGGCTATCCTGCTGTTGCCCTGTGTCATGAGGACCCTGTAGCTTTGGGTCTGCAAGACCCATCCCTTCCCATGCTACAGCCCCAATCTTATGGAGGCTTTTTCTCATTTGAGGCTCCCTCCTCTCAGATGACATAAAACTAGAGTGTGTCAGGTTGACATAAATCTGGCCAACAGATCTGCTATGGTCCCATCTTTGTATGGTGAAGTTCTAAGCCCTAGAGCTGACAGTAGGAGGTAGGGCCTAATGCATGAGACTGTGTCTCTCCTGGTTAGAGTAGAGTCCCCAGAACAGAAGTTCAAGGTTGAGGGTGCAAAGGTTGAACTTGACTGTGTGGGCACCATGATGTAGCCTCCAGAGATGTGGGGAAAATGGCATTGTTGAGAAGCCACACAATCTCTGGGATCTTGTTACAGCAGCTCCACAGATTAAGACATCATTCATGTCAAACTGGCTTTTGATCATGACCAGGGTTACGGTGTCAGCAGTTTGCTAAAGCAGAAAGTATTCTGGGGGTTTGATAGAGAATACCTACCCCAGATTTTTCTCTTTCTTTTCTTTATGTGTGTGAGTATGGCAACCAGTGATGGAACAAGGACCTCATGCATGCCAGGCAAGCCCTCTACCACTGAGCTGTATCCCAGCCCTGCTTTTCACTTTTTACTTTGAGAGAACGTCTCAACAAGTGGAGAGGGTCAACCCTTCCATTCATTCTATATAGCCCAGGGAAGTCTTGAACTTGAACTTAGGAAGGAGAAAATTACTTTGGGAATTCCCCTGCCTCAACTTCCCTAGTAGCTTGGATTATGATTTGTACCATCTGGCCTGGCTTTTTTTTTCCCTCTCTCTCTTCAAATCAGCTGCTCTTTGCAGCCTCTCTCGTGGAGCTGCATTGGGGAGTATACAGCTTTCCTTACTCTGGCCTTGCTGGGGTCTTCCCTTATGACAAGCAGCTGGGGTAATATATGAAACCCTAACACAGTTTTTAAGACTAGTCCACACAGGTACAAACTTGTCTCCCCAGCATGGCCAGCCTTGTGCCAGTATGTTCTTGTACTCTTCTTCCTTAAGCAGTTCTGGAAGGAGGAGGAGGTAGTTTCTTTATAGAAGAGATAGGTTCAGAGGGCTGGTACCTCAACTCACATGGGCTGGAAAGGCACAACCAGCCAGAGATGCATGAATCCTAAGTTACAGTTTGTGCGAGCCTAGGGGACCATCAAATTCTGGGAGGGTGAGCGCAAACGTGTGCAGAAGAGAGGAAAAGGAAAAGCCAAACTCCAGTGAGTGAGGACTCTTTGTTTTCTGTGATTTTTTGCCACCATCTCCCCAGGTGATCAGTGGTTCATAGGCACAGGTTATCTCAGTTAAACCCATTACCACATCTCAGAGCCGAAGCCATTCGGAGGACGCTGTGGATCAGAGCAGAGGTTAAGGCAAGAGTGCAAGGCCACACCGTTATTTGAGGTTGGAGCTGGGTTCCGGAACTACCTGTCTGCTGTCTGGTAAGTCTTTGAGTCACCACAGTGGGAATGATAAAGGCCAAGACTGATGATGGAGACATGGGGAGGCGGTACCTACAAGAGCTTTTTAGGGAACACTTAGCTTCCCCTCGAAGAACCATGTGTGAAGTGAAGGGGCCTGAAGATGAAGTGAGATGCTATTGAGTGAAAGCCCTTGCCCTGCAAGCCCTGGCTCTGCTCCTGAACATAGGGCATGCCTTAATCAGCATAGTCTGGACCATCTGCTATTGCCACAAATCATATCCCGTTCATTTCCAGGAGTTTGGAGAGAGACAACTTGAAAGAGAGGGAAGAGAGAAAAGGAGAAGGCAAACCACCTGGTAATGCCTGGCCTTTGGTTTGCAGGGCAGCTGTGGAGGAGGAAGGACAGAATCCATTTACTTATTTGTTTGTTTGTTTGTTTATGTATTTATTTTTGCCCTGGTCTAGAGTTGGGTGGGCTTTGCAAGAGCCTTAACAGACAGAGTTGCTGGTCTCTCTGTGTGATGTTTGTGTTTAGGTACTATCTGGCTTTTCGCAGCCCTCTGGCATAAAAGGGATTGTGACAGCAATCACACCCGCAGTGGGCAGCTAATGGCACTTTCGGTTGAGCTCACTTCTGGCAGAGAAGACTCTTCCACCCCAGCCCTGGCCTCACACTGGGTCTGATCTATGAGATAGGGGCGGTGGTTTCTCAGCCTCGGGCAATATGGCAGAGTGGGGTTTCCAGGAGAAGGGCCGTCCTGCCCACTTGTTTGTTGAGCAGGCACCTTCGCGTAAACACTTTGATGTGCTCTTGGCAGCTCTGCCAGGTAGGTAAACTGGCCAGAGATCAGCATCCTCTTTAACCCAAGGCTCAGCAAGGGCAAGGGGTCGGCTCAAGCTTGCACAGCAAGTTCTGATCTTTGCCCGTTAAGACCCCGGGACTAGGATTTCTCACCCTCACAATTTTTTTCCCCA